CTCTGTATTGGAAAAAAAACACTGTGTCAATGTAAAGTAAAAAAGAAATGTAAGAATGTATAAAACTATAGATAAAATCTGTGCATTTTATGAATGCTAACCAATATCAATTACCAGTTCTTGCAAACAGTGTTATCACAAAATCCTATTAACAATAGCGATGCATGTATTAACCCAATCCCACCTGGAAAATGTGACGTTTAATGTAGTATTGTTTTGTGAAGTGTATCTGCACATAGATGGCAGTTAAGTAGTAGTTTGTGTGACCATCTGGTTTCCCACTTGAGTCTTCAACATTTTTTTCGAGTGCAATCAATATCAATGCTGTTATCATTATATTAACCCCTTCCCAACGGGTCATACCTTGTGACCCATCAATCTGTGGCGTGCGGCTGTACACAGCGATGGCACGTCAAAGAGCTACAAGCCAGTGATTTGGCTTGATGTACCGAATTCCCATGCTCAAAGTCAGTGCATTGCCATTAATCTCCAGAGCATAGTTTTTTGGGTTTTTTTCTTCACCCGTCAAAGGGTTAACAATACTAACAGCAATATAAAATCAAATTAAATTTTTCCAAAAATCAGAGGAAAAGGGTAAACAGGCAAGATTAGTTGGGATAGTGATAGACTCACAGGTGACTTAGTACTTATGAAGCTATCTATATATAAATTCAATTAACCTATTGCCGACGGGCATGTCACGTAGGTCCATGCCATGCCCACTGTGAGTTTACTTGTTTAATTGTTTTTACAAATAGATGGCTACACTTGTACTAAGTCACCAAAGAGCCAATTACGAGTACTGCTCGTCTCGCCCATTCACCTTTTTTATTGATTTACGAACATATTTTATGTTATCTTATTTTGCTGTTACTAATGTTTATAACATTGTAATTATTATGTTTATAATAAAAATAACACTATCAATATTTATAGCACCAGTAAAAAATATGTTTTTCCCACAAATTCAAGGAAAGGTCAAATCAGGTAAGGTCACAAGGTTTACTAATTGACTCCTTTGCAGCTAAGCACTAGCAGAGCCATCTATGTACAGAGACATTTCACTATATATGGAAACTCTTTCCAAAAATTCACATTGTAATCACGATTATGCTAGAAAAAAAAAGACAATCTGACCATTAATTAACATAATCATAAAAGGAAACTTGAAAAGTTCTCCCAAGAAACCAATCACACAAGATGGTACTTGCAAACATTTACACAAAGTAAATCTATCCTAGGCTGCTTCACATTGTAATCATGATTGTTATGCAAGAACAAAAAAGACAATCTGACCATTAGTTAACATAATAATAAAAGGAAACTTAAAAAGTTCTTCCAAGAAACCAATCACATAAGATGGTACTTGCAAACATTTACACAAAGTAAATCTATCCTAGGCTGCTTCACATTGTAATCACGATTATGCTAGAAAAAAAAAAGACAATCTGACCATTAATTAACATAATCATAAAAAGGAAACTTGAAAAGTTCTCCCAAGAAACCAATCACACAAGATGGTACTTGCAAACATTTACACAAAGTAAATCTATCCTAGGCTGCTTCACATTGTAATCATGATTGTTATGCAAGAACAAAAAAGACAATCTGACCATTAGTTAACATAATAATAAAAGGAAACTTAAAAAGTTCTTCCAAGAAACCAATCACATAAGATGGTACTTGCAAACATTTACACAAAGTAAATCTATCCTAGGCTGCTTCACATTGTAATCACGATTATGCTAGAAAAAAAAAAGACAATCTGACCATTAATTAACATAATCATAAAAAGGAAACTTGAAAAGTTCTCCCAAGAAACCAATCACACAAGATGGTACTTGCAAACATTTACACAAAGTAAATCTATCCTAGGCTGCTTCACATTGTAATCATGATTGTTATGCAAGAACAAAAAAGACAATCTGACCATTAGTTAACATAATAATAAAAGGAAACTTAAAAAGTTCTTCCAAGAAACCAATCACATAAGATGGTACTTGCAAACATTTACACAAAGTAAATCTATCCTAGGCTGCTTCACATTGTAATCACGATTATGCTAGAAAAAAAAAAGACAATCTGACCATTAATTAACATAATCATAAAAAGGAAACTTGAAAAGTTCTCCCAAGAAACCAATCACACAAGACGGCACTTGCAAACATTTACACAAAGTAAATCTATCCTAGGCTGCTTCACATTGTAATCACGATTATGCTAGAAAAAAAAAGACAATCTGACCATTAATTAACATAATCATAAAAGGAAACTTAAAAAGTTCTTCCAAGAAACCAATCACACAAGATGGTACTTGCAAACATTTACACAAAGTAAATCTATCCTAGGCTGCTTCACATTGTAATCATGATTGTTATGCAAGAACAAAAAAGACAATCTGACCATTAGTTAACATAATAATAAAAGGAAACTTAAAAAGTTCTTCCAAGAAACCAATCACACAATATGGCACTTGCACACATTTACACAAAGTAAATCTATCCTAGGCTGCTTCACATTGTAATCACGATTATGCTAGAAAAGAAAAAGACAAATTAATAGGGAAAAACAATGCATAGAGCCTCAACCTATAAATCTTATGCTAATTTGTAGTTAAACTTGATTACAACCAAAATTAATTTAAATATGAACCTCAATATGCAACTAAAATTAAGTACATGACAACTAAAAAACTGAATTCAATCTATCTACTCATGAACTATCAACTTCTATTTCTGATTTTGACACTTACTAGGAGACTTCTTCTCTTGTTTGACATCAGCCAGAGCCTTAGTGGGCGGCGATAACATCTTTGAGGTAGTTTCTTGGGCAGGAGACTCGGATGGAGGTGCTGCAGCTGGCGCTTTCTTGGGCGAGTTGTCTATGTCTCTATTCTTTGGAGGACGCCCTCTCTTCTTTGGTGGTGGGCCCTGTTGTGATAGTAAAGGAAAAGGAGGGAATTTAAGCTGTGATTAAACAGACCGAAAAATGAAAAGGATGGTGATTCTTGCATAGAGAGGAGCTGGTGACACAGCTGACGATCCAAATTTACAAGGCAATTAACATGAATACCATCTACTCCACCAAATGCCTTTAGAATTTACACTTTTTCAGTGTTTTAATTGTAAATGTTTACAGGTTTATAGTAAACAGACTGCTGGGTTACATGTATAGCCATCATAATAAAACCACTTGGTCTGCAGGGTATGCTACACACGTGGTGACACACTAGAGTGCATTGAGCAGGAAGTTCTGCTACGTGCAGCTGGTCGTTGAAATCACCAGTCTATGAAGTTGAGAGATTTCTAATACCTGTCACTGACAGGTTAATCCATCACTGCCGGGTGAACAGAAATCCCTGAGTGTGATAAACTTGATTTCTGGCAACAGCGGGAGTCCACAACATCCAACCCAAATATCCCACTCCATGCACTCTGGCACTTCACCACGCATACAGGTGTACTCCACAGACCAAGCAGTTTGTTATGCCACCAGTAAATGTAACCCATCTGGGTTGGATTAAACACAACACCACTAAAATAAGATTATCATACATATTGTAGGAAATTTCTTTATAAATGCTATTATCTATATTCACTGTCAATAACTGGTTTGACTGTAAACTATAACCTATAAAGAAACTAAACAAAGATAAACTGATACCATATAGGATCTAAAGCAAGTGAAAAATTGTCAATGCATGAACTCAAAAATATATATAATTTTGGACAGCTAAAATATACACACAAATGGGAAGGTATTTAGCAACCACTGTCTTTGAAAATAAAAGGAGGCCGCTTCTCATCATTATCAATTAAATATTATGGCCTGAGTAGGAGCATGACAACATAAAAAATAAAATAGAAAATAATAACTAAAACATGACATATCAAATAAGAATTATGAACACGAAAAAAATTATAATGTAAAAGTAAATACATGCAGTGCACACATAACTAATTAACCTGTTTGAAAAAGATACATTTTGCACTTGGTTAGGAAAAATATAACCTGTGCTAATTTTTTTTTTTTTTTATTATTATTATTATTATTACAATAATTTATTCAAAATAGAACATAATTCACTAAAGAAATCTCTATTTCCATGTTTTCTTTAGACAGTAAAAAAGTAATACTGTTGTGTAAGATTCCCTCTTTGGAGTTTCATAAAGATAGGCAGATATGAGCTCATTTTGTTCCTCAACAAGGTCCAAAGTAAGCCATTCTTTCAAGTTTAATATAAATTAATCTTAAAAAATAATGTTTTGTCCACAAACATAAATTTATTGGAAAAAAGTATAACCTTATAATCCTACACAAACTGGACGTTCTATTTGTTTCTTTTTTCAAATGAAAAAAAAATCTCATGACACAAGCCTAGGACAAAAAATTAAACAACTAAAACTCTAACTTACTGTTGGGGTGGGCATTTCTTCTGGCACTGCAGGCGACTCTGCTGGCGCAGCTTCCTCTGACCCGGAGAGGGAGAGTCTTTTTCTTGGTGTGGTGACAGGTGCACTGGGAGTACTTTTGACTGCATTGCTAGTTTTGGTAATTGATGGGGTACTTGCAGCTTCTGTGACTGCAACAATGTGTATCATCAAATAAAGGTTACATATTCTTTTGCATAATTTGCTTATATTATAAATAGAAGTATGTATAAATAATACATTTTTTCACAAAGCAACTTATCTCAGTGCAGCCATCCAAATAGGCCAAATTTTACAAATGCTGTTTCAGAAGTTTCTGACAATAAAAACCAAATACTATAATTCGTCCTGTACACTTTCATCTCTGGATTTAAATGCTCCACTACATCCATAAGAGATGAATCTCTTATAAATTTAACTAACCATTAAATGAAAACTAAAGTGACCATCAATACTATAGAGGCAACTATCAATCCTTAAGACAATTTTGTGAAGAAATCAAGCTGAGTATTATTTACTGTTCAAGGAAACATGTGAATGAAAGCTAGAAATAGAATCATCTTTACCAAAGGTCAAAACCTAGGAAACTTACAACATACCCTTTTTAAGCTTACATTTAAACTAAGTTATATTTTCCATTTACTTAGGTATAATCAAGTTTGGTTTCCAAACTACAACTCTTTCAGAGCAATTATTCACAGATAGATTTGTAAATACTATTCACCTTATAAGAAACATCACCTATTTAGAGAAGTAATAACCATTTGCTAATCCTTTTTCTTAACCCCTTCGATCTGGACATAATTATGTCACAAAAGAAAAATAATTGGCTTGAGGAGCAGGCCCTCTGAACATGACATCATGCAAAAATTGGCTGTGGGCACAAATCTGCTACCATAAGTGTTTTGGCTGAAGGCTGTCTGACAGGAAAGACTCTCCACAAGTGCACAAACCTCTTGGAGGGTGATTAGATTTATTTGGCATTTAAGAAAGGGGCTTTTGCATTATTTCTATCAGTAAACAAGTATGGAATCTAGTTTTCATGAGCCACGACTGGAAGAGCACAGCTCTAAAAAGGATGCCATTTCCATACTTAGTATCCTCTTCCATTGCAAAAGTTAGAGTTTTTGTCACCACCCAAGAGTGTTCACGTGTACCTGGTTTACAAGCCACACACCCAGCAGAGCAGTCAATTACTTAAGCCTAATGCCCATACTTTGGGCCATTAATTGCACACGGATCCAAGCACCCAGATCCAAGGGGTTAATAGAAGTTGAACCTTGCTTGTCTTGCACACAGTGGAACAGACAGATACATTAGTAACAGTTTTTCCAAACCAATACTATACGTCATATAGTCTACTGTGAAATATTATTGATGTGGATACAATTTATATATGTTTTACCATAGACCCAGGTTCACCAAACTTACCCACTCATGCCAGACAACATCTATTCACAGGCCTGAATGCAAGGTAGCAAGTATTCATGTCACAGAGTCAAATCTATTCTAAACTGTGTATATTAACCCCTTCCCGACGGGTCACGCTGATAGGCATCAAAACAAACCGCTTGATCGGTGGCGTGCAGCTGTATGCTGCAGCGGCACGCCAAAGTGCTACCAGCCGGTGATTCAGCTTGATGTACCAAACTCCCGTGCTCAAAGTCGGTGCATTGCCATTGATCACCAGAGCATAGAGATTATTTTTAGTGGTGACTCAGTGGTGACTGAGGAGATATATGGGATCCCTTTTTAGCCTCATTTCCTAAGCAATCATGCATGTTGTAGCCAAAAACAGAGAGCAGGATAAATGTACATTTCTCACACTTCAAATTTTTTTACTCAAACAGCTGACATGGCTTGGTATAGCACAGGGATGGGTTTAACCCTGAGCATGATAAACTCTGTTGATTTCTGGCAACGGCCTGACATTGGGCGAAGGAGTCCACCACATGAAGTGGAATTTCCTGCTCCACGTTTTGATCCATTGCCACACGTATAGGTGTACTCGACAGACCAAACAGTTTGTTATGACGCAGTACACGTGACCCGTCAATTGGGTTAAGTTGTGACAGACAAGAAATAATAGTACTGGTGCAAGAGCTGTCCAAGTGGTAGCTATGCAAACCAACATAAACCAGATTCAAATTACTTACAAAAAGCCAAAGATGAGCCCACTGGCTAGTGTGGTTCAGACTGCATTTCAATTTTGTAAAAGTTTTAAAAGTAAACATTTCCTCTCTTCTGAATCCCTCAGATCATCTAATCATCCACAAAAACAACTCACAAAAATAAGATTTGCATCCTACCTGGGACTGGAGTGGAAGGTGTGCCTGCTGCAGCTGATGGTGGGCGGGAAGCATCTTCACCTTCATCTAAGAACTTTTTGGGCTTTATTAGCCTCCCACTTCGACTAACTTGGGGTTCCAATGATTCTCCAGATTGCTGTAAAACAGATCATGTAAATTACCTAACAGGTTGCAGAAAAAATCTACTTATCTAATCCTTTTGTTTCTTAATATCATCCCACCAGATTATCACAAGAAAAGAAATCATAGTCTTCAACTTTTTTTCTTTTTTTGCTTGTTTTTGTACACTAGTGTTACCCAGATTTCCCAATAAGACAGTTTAATGAGCTTCTAATTCAGAAACAATTTTAGTACATTTTAACTTAATTCCATTAAAAATCATGAGACTGGGGGTTATAGGTCTCATATAGTAACACATTCCTATACCAAATTAAAGTATAATAAATTCATCATATAATACTAAGTGACGCATAAATACCCTATGATACTGATTTGAGATAACTTTATACTATTCCTCTTTGATGTTTCTATCCATATTTCAACCAAGCTTTCAAATATCTATATTATAGAACCTTTCTTATTACTTATAACCAAAAATAACCACAATAGTAACAACTAGGTAAACTTTTTCTGTCCTAAATAAGTGTGGATCTTCAAATTAGTTCACCATTACAAAATTTATCATAGGGATCACAGCAATAACTTGGAAAGTCTTGGTGGGTCACATGGCCAATCTTTTTAAACCCCTTTGATCCGGGTGATGTGACCAAGTCAAGGAAAAATCTGGCTCAAAGGGCGGAAAACATAACCATTTTGTCGTGGGAAAATCTAGCTGTAGCCCGGGTGACGCAAACTTGCCGTCATGAGCATTTCGGCTGCAGTCCGAGGTGATGGAAGAGACTCACCACAAGTGCGATTCTGCATTATTCCTATCAGTTTATAAGTGTGGAATGTAATGTCTGTGAGCTGTGACTGGAAGAGAGTCAGCTCCATGGAGGATGTCACTTCCATACTCAGCATCGTATTCCTGGTGCCATGACTGGCAATGCATATTGTATTATGGAAAATTGAAATTACACAAATAACAGTGTAACATAGTTTCATGGACATTGGAAAATGGCGAAAACGCTAAAATTGCTTTTGCGTAAAAAGGGTAAATAACTTTGCAGATAGAAGGCATAGTCCCGTCACTGCACACGTTCACATGCACCTGGCCTAAAAGCCACACCCGGACTGAGCAACAGCTCACATAAGCCTAAAACCTGGATTTTTTATGTGATTGGCTTGATGCAACCGGATCCAACGGGTTAAATACTGCTCTACCACAATGCTTCATTTTGTCTTTGCACCACTGGATGGTTGTATATAAACTAAAGCAAAACAAACGTTTGATGTTCTTTCTATGACTTAATGAAAAATAAACCCCGGAGCCCTTCAATAAAGCTGCAGAACAGAACATCATAGTTTTATACATTGAAAGTTTTATACATATGAATATAATAACACTAAAACATACCTAATATGTGTAAAAAAAGTAAAATTAAAAAATAGTAAATAAATAAATAAGCATATACATAAACAAATAAATAAAGTATTAATAAATAAATAAATAAATAAATAAATAAATAAATAAATACATAAATAAATAAATAAATAAATAAATAAATAAATAAATAAATAAATAAATAAATAAATAAATGCATCAATGAATATAAAGAAACATTTATCAATTTATATACTAATCTATTTATCTATTCATTTCCTTATCTATCTATCCAGCCATCATCTATTTATTTATCTATTCAAATATAAACAAAACTCAATATAGCTATTTATTTTAGATCTATTTCTCTTACCCATAACTACATGAAAATCAAATGCTGTCATCACACATACCTGCTTCGGAGTTTCTTTAGGAGTTTCTTTAGCTATAAGTTTTGACTGTTTAATATTTTCTTTTGGAGTTTGCTTTGGAGTTTCTTTGGGCGTTTTCTTAACATCAGAAGATGCAGCTTTCTTGGCTGGTGTCTCTGAGGCTATGTCGGAATCCTGCCTTTTTCTTTTTCTTCCAGGTTTTGCACCTAGAAATGAAATATCAACTGATCAGTTTTTCATTCTACTTTACTTTGCTGGCTGATTTCAACTTTCTACTGTCTGTCTTTCCTTTTCCAATAATTTGGGGCTCAACTCTCATAAGATTCTAACATGATTAACCCAATGGCGCCGGGTGTACAAAAAAAAAAAACTCTACGCTCTGGCAAACAAAGGCGCGCGTGAGTAGGGTACATCAGCCCGAATCACTGGCTCGCCGTGCTTTGGCTCGCCGCCGCAGCATACAGCCACACGCCAGCTTTCGAGCTGTTTGTTTTCACACCGATCAGCGTCACCCGGCGTTAAGGGGTTAATAAGAAGTACAGGAAGATTTAATATTGTTCTGTGAAGACTGTAAGTATACACTTGATATCACAGTGCTTCATACTTAAATCCTTTCTCATTTTATATGCTTAAAGACAAAAGATGTGTCATATGTCCTTTTCATTTCTTTACATTTTATATTTTCAATAAGAAAATTAAAAATTAATCATAGTAGATGCCATCTGTGAACAAGGGGTTAAAGTGAACTATTTTGCAAAATTGTATTTGGGCTATAATGAGAAATTAAATCCACTGACTATTATATTCTACACATTGTTTTGCAGGATAAAATTCTTATCTTTAAACTCATTCCACTCTTTAGTGAAGATGAGGAAAGACAAAAAGAATATAAGTTCTGAGATTTTCTATCTACCAAAAAACACTGTCCCATTCATACCTTTCCCTGCAGACTCATCGATAACTAAATCGCCTACGTCCTCATCAGACTCTTCGGACTTGACATCCGTCGTCACTGCTGGTGTGGAGCTCAGGGACTTTCTGCCGGGCTTGGCTGCAGGAGTTTTCGGGGTACCAGGGAGGGAGGCTGAGGACACGTCTGGTGGTATGGGCTGTGAAGATAGAGCAGTTATTTTAAGAGTTGTTGCTGGAGTTACCCCATAATGCACTTTTTATTACTAGTGCTTCAAACTTACACTATTATCAAATTTGTTTCCTTAAAAGGAAGGGACTTTGCAAAGAAGCAACAATTATTTTTTTTAATCAGGAAATAGAAAATAAAGCCCTGTATAAGAAAAAAAGGGTAAATAAATAAAATCATACAAAATTAATCTATCAATATCTGTCCTGTATTTAACATGTACTTTAACCATTTGTTTATATATCTATGACTATTGAGTTAATTCTTAAACAATTAGATCTAGGTGCCACGTTGCCACACAAACACTTTGCAATGTTGTTGTTTTTTTTTTATGCATAAGTATATTTTACTTATCTGCCACTTGCCAAAGTCTCTATTTGTCATTAGATATGCTGTATCAAGATGGTAATAGACTTTTTCTACACAGACTATCATATCTCTTGCCCATCTACAACTCGGTACAAATACAATAATAAAATGTAACAGTCTGTTATTTGTTATTAAATCTTCTTTAAATATTTTCATATGCAATCTTCTGCCCCACACTTTGTGCAGCCAGTCATGGTGAACAGGAATAAGATCATGAGCATGGAAATAGTGCTCTCTCTCATGCCAGCGCTCTTCCAGCCCTAGTTTACAAATGGTACATTCCACCCTCATTTACTGGTGGAAATAATGCAAGAGACCCTTACTAAATGCCCACTGAGTGTAATTTTCCTCCAAGAGCTAAGTGCATACATGGGGAGTCATTTCCCATCAACCTGGCCTTCAGCCAAATTTTCCATGATGGTTCATTCCCATCACCCAGGCCCTCAAACAAATTCTTCCATGACAGCACATTCCCTTGTCATCCAGCCCTAATGCCAAATATTTTCATGACATGATAGTCATGTCACTTGGATATAATGGGATAACAATTAAGGACTTTGTCCTGATTACTATTGTTACCATCACCATTAACCCCTTCCCGACAGGTTAGATATAGGCGTGAAAAGAAACCGCTCAAAATGTGGTGTGCGGCTGTACACCAGGGCAGTGTCCCAAAGCGTGGCGAGCTGGTGATTTGGCATGATGTACATGATGTACCGAACTCCCACGCACAAAGTCGGAGCATTGCCATTGATCACCAGAGCGTAGAGGTTTTTTTTTCAGTTTTCTTAACCCATTATATATATAATAAGTTTAATAATAGAATGTAAATAAATAAGACAAAATTATATAATTTATGATGTTAGCTACTGTTAACCCAATACCTACAGAACTTCACACCCTGAGCACCATATGCTGTCAGTCTTTTGAGGGACAAATCAGAAACAGGAAATATATGATTTCCCCCTCTCTACAGGTTTGGCTGCAGCATATACAAATATCTAGTTAAAAGCCAAAATTGATTTCAGCCTACTTCTGAGGGTTCACAGAATCAATAAGTAGGCCCTAGTAACCATAACTGATTTCTACATTCCATAATTTTTCTTTTTAAATGTTATTAACCCCACAATGCCTTTAGTCTCTCAGCGTCACTGACTCCGGTGACTTCTAGCAAAAGTGTTTGGGCCGGGAGTCCGCTACATGTAGCGGAACTTTCCACCCGACTCGCTCTAGTACATCATGACAACTATAGCCTTACCCAGCATGATGAATCTGTTTGTTATGATGGCTATAGGTATGGCCCAACAGATACAGGTTAATCCACTGGAACTAGAGACATAACGATCATGCCATGAAAAAAACTTTGCTGAAGGCAAGGTGACAAGAATATGATGTAATGGAAAAGTTTGGCTAAGGGCTTGGGTAACAGAAATGGGTTATGTAAAATTAAGCTGAAGACCAGGGTGCCAGGGAATGATTTGCATAAAGTGCATAAAGATCTTGGAGGTAAATTAGACTTAGTGGACATTTCGGATGTGGCTTTTGCAATATTTCTATCAGTAAATGAGGGTGGAATTTACAATCCATGCACCATGGGGGGAAAAGCTCTAACAAGAGAGAGCATCATTTCCATGATCAGGATTTTATTCCTGCCTGCTACAAGCAGCAGTACTGGGTGTATTACAGGAAAATTAATATGAAAATATTTTGAATTGACACAAATAACAAAATGCTACTTATTATTATTGTTAGAGATATATAGTCTGTGCAAAAAAAAATATTACTTAGACCTTAGAAAATGCTAAAACACTTATGCAGAAAAAGAAATAACATAGCAAATTAGAGGCAAAGAGTCTTGATACTGTATACTATTGTTTTTGTAGGCCAGGCCAACAAGCCAAACGACCAGGAAAGTTGTCACTCAAGTAACCCTAATACCCGGATGTTGAGTTTATTATTTATCTATTTATTTATTGAGAAATTTCTACCTCATCACCACTTAATGTCATAAATGGCATATTCAATATTTTGTGTATCTGAAATAACCAAGACTTTAAAACTTACACATATTCTATGTATTCTTTGATAAGATTATTTAAATTTCATAAAACATATCAGTTTCAATAAGGGACTTTAAATCTACAATGACAGTACAAGTGATTTTTCGCAACCATCTAGCCATTTGGCCGGGGAGGCTGCTACATGTAGCTGTACCCATCATGATGAGTTGTTTTATTTTGACAGTTATAGGCGTACCCAGCTGTAAGAGGTTAAAAGATTTTGAACAGAATCATAATTATCTCTCAGAATATTTTTTAAACTAATGGTCTTTGTAAATATCTATTCCATGGTTCCTCATAGATATTAGTTTTCTATAATATGGACTATGTTCAGTGGTTCCTGGCAAATAGCACAGGGGAATCCAGACATTAGCCCTCCTGTGTTAAAATGTGTGCCCTATTCTTATTCTTGTTAGTACTACTTCTACTATTCTGTTCATTTTGGAACTTGTGATCCAGATACCAAGATCTTCTTTAACCCCTTCCCGACGGGTCACGCTATGAGGCGTCAAAACAAACCACTCAATCTGTGGCGTGCGGCTGTACGTCGTGGCAGCACGCCAAAGCGCTACGATGCCAGTGTTAGCCAGTCCTGGATTTCTCTTATTCTTTTGCAGAATATCCTACTCAGATTTTGAGCCATCTATTTATTTCTATTTTTCTATATAAATTCTATATTTATAGGAGTGTTCTAGAAACTTCTGCTTTATTTCTATTTCAATATTTCTTTTCTTTCCTACTGCTGTAAAATCCAGCTTTACCTCATTTTTCCATGGCAAGATTTGGGGATTGCCAATTAGTAGGACCTTATTTAGATACAAGTTGAGGTGCATAATATGATTTCTCATTCTCCAACCAAAAGCCTGTGTGTTTGCTCGAGGGTCAAACACTGCTCTGCATTGGGGAGATTCAAGATTTCTCTGAATTCTATTAAGACAGATAAGATTCATGTAATCATGGTGAAAGTCTAAGGGTGGTTCTCCACTTTCTTTACATAAAGATAACACAGGTGATGAACAAAAAGCACCAGTACATATTTTCAGTGCTTCATTGTGCATAGGGTTTAGTAGCTGGAGAATGTTGGGAGAAGCTGAAGCCTAAGCTGCATATCCATAGTCCAGATTTTGAGATATGTGCAAGTAATAAGGCACCCAGGTCTAAATGGTTAAAATACAACTAATAAAAACTGTAAAAGATGCCATAAATATTGGCATTGGGCTTTTTTTCTATAATACAACCTGCACCAATCAGGAATAGGTCCTGAGCATGGCATCCTTCCAGTTATAGTTCACACACTCGTTTATCAATGGGAATAGAGCAAAAGCCTCTTCCTAAATACCAAATTAGTCTAATCACTTTCCTAGAGCTTTGTGCACTAGTGGAGAGTCTTGTTCATTTAAAACAGCAAGTTTGTGTCACCCCCACACACAGGCAAAGTTTCGCAAGGACGGAAGGTTTCCGTCACTAGCCTCTCAACCCAATTTTTTCCAGGACATGGTCGTCACATCATCTGGATTGTAGGGGTTAATAAGCTAAAATTACGATGGACATACATGCCATGCCTTCCATAACCAACAGGTTAATCACAATTCAGGCTTACTAAGAAATGCCTCAAACTGACTTCTGTATCGTGTTAAACTTACTATGCTTGGGTCTAGACTTGGATTATTAATTATCTGCCACAGGCCTTCATTGAAACCCTTCCTCTTCTGTGGTTTCCCAAACTTCTCTACGTGGGTCGAGTAAGGGAATAGGTCATCTGGTTTCAGCAAAGCCCTGAAATCAAATTTTGGGATATAGTGTAAAAGAACCATTAAGAGTATTAATCTTCATTAACACGACTTAATTAACAAATGAACAGTCTTCGCTGCAACAAAGATAGAAGGAGAATGAATATCTTTACAGCAAAAGAGTTATGGTAAAATCCAGTAAAATACATCACTTGCATTCTGAAGATAGATATTTCTTCTCATTCAGACTTTTTACAAAATTGATTAACACAGTATAAAAATCCATCACTATATTCAATGATTCACATGAAGACAAAATATTTTTTTCACTAGCACTGCCATGCTGTTAATAAGATCTGACAAACCAAATATAATAAGAGTATCAAGATTTATGCCTGACTGTATCAGAGTCCACAGTCCTTAAATATTTGATTGAATAGACATAGTAACTTGTCTAGTACATTTACTCCTTAGTAAAATGTAAAAAAACAAACAAATAAATAGGTGTACAAAAAAAAATCATTCACATGCTGTCATCACAAGAAATACCAACAGTGTTAAATTTTGATTAAAAACAAAAGTGTTTGTGTCAATCGCACAGCCTTTCTTATCTATTTGAAAGTCTGTCGGCAAGACACAACTTGCTCTTAGCTCATATATGTTTTGACAGCAATACCTTCCTGATGCCATTTTTTAATGAGCTGAATTTCATGCAAAATCTCAAATGACTAGATTCTAACAATACAAAATTTTAAAGGTGAACTATCAAAGCTACATTCACCATAATGGTTGTTGTCTGGGTTACTTACGTCTCATAAGTCCCATAAAACAGGACTGGATACTTTTTTAATGGTTTGCCAGATGGATCTTCTTCATAGGGTTCAATCTGTGGGAAAAATAATGACAAATCAGTACTTCCTATAATCTGAATTCACAAATTAACCATACATTTTTAGTAAGTATTCATCTTCTCCTAATGTAATGATAAATAGGTAACAAACATTATTTCATTATTAATTTTGGTAATCATCCAGAACAGGACAGTGAATATAGAGCAAAACTAATGCAATGGTCATGATGTATGTAATGTATAAATGAATAACTTTGATTAGGCAAGTCCCTAATCATTTGTTACAAGTAGTCCATGAATCTGTGCTTAGTGATGCCTAGCCTCTGTACTTCCCACTCCAGCAATGGTCAACAAACCTCAAACATATATTTACTAATAAGATTACTTATAGTAAACAATCTACATTTATATAAGGAAAATAAAGAACTAGTTCAAGTTCTATTTTGAAATAGTGTGGTGGAGGTTTGCTGGCCTTTATCAGAGCCCAAAGTACTGATGCCACTAATGAGAATGGTCCCATTATGAATAATTATACACAACCTTATCATTCTAGAACTGGCCACTGTCGGAGAAATTATTTATTAAGACTCTCCAATGAAACAAAAAGTATTTGAAAATAATTCATGGTTACATAAAAAAAACTACAATTTACAATACTAATAGCATTATCTACCAGCCCTTCAATTCAATCTCCAAAATGTAAAAAATCTAGATCTCATTCCAAGAAAGTAAGAGCCAAGAAAGTTCATACTAAAAATTAGTAATAAAAATGGTAAATCTAGAGGCAATGGATTTTTTTCCTTCCTTTATTTTTCTCCCATCCCTTCTTATTTTGGAGAACACAAATAATTTCAAACACCAGCCAATAATCTCAGGGGATCCCAGGGGGTTTGAAGTGGGGGGGGGGGGAATATGAGAGGAATTTCTCATAACAAGCCTTTAAAAAGTAAGCTAAGAATTCTACCTTAGATAATAAAGAAAGTGGATAAGAGAAAATACCCAATTCAACAATTGGTCACAGAGAATTTGACACAGCATTGCAAGAACAACGAAATTGATGGACCCCATACTAAACGCAAAAAAGGAAACTGCCAAAAGAACAAAACAAAAAATACTCCCAGTTATTGCCTTCCCCTACAAAGATATTCTGACCCAGACCACTCCCAATCACCATACCTCAGTGGTATTCCCTAAATCACCTAAAAGTAAGAATCATAAAATCCTAATGAATATATACAATTCTAAACTTCTGGAACTCAGTTTTTGTGAACAAGTATCTGTATCTATATGTATATATTTTTTTTTTAGGCTTAGAAAAGTTCCACTGACATGACAACATTCTTGAGCATAGTGATAAAGCTTCCTGACATGTAACTTTGCTGACACTTTTTGAAGTTCAACCAAATACAACAATTATTTGTAAACATATTATATAAAATGTCCAAATTTTGGTTTCTTTAAACTATTTTTTTTTTAATAATATTTATCAATGAATGGTAACAGTAGGCCATTTAAATCTTAATGATGCTGTTACTGGCACTATACATAAGAACATATCCCCACTTATAAAAGTAACAAGTTTAAACACTGATAAATAAACTTTAGTGAGTATGTAAACATGGCAGCATGCAACCTGTCCAAGGAATTGGCACAATTGTTCTCAAACACTAATAAAGGCCCTGATACTGATTTGATTAGAAAAAGGACTTTAGTGGTATCTTTTGCTTAACTACCAAAAACCTATTCTGCCACCAAAGTGATAACAGGGTTTTACATTGTGACTGGCCTGAGATATTGGGAGATGACATACATTTCCTGACAAGACAACCAATCTTGGCATGGCATGACATAAGTGCCACCTATAGCCACTGGATTAAACAAAAGAAACCCCTGACTGACAGATCTTTATTCTTTACCTGTCTCTCCTGTTTATCCCTTTTAGTAATGATAATGACATTATAATAATTGTAATGTCTATAATAAAAATAGCACCATCAACATTGATGGCATTAGTAAAACGCACTTGTGGAGCCATCTATGTTTAGACACATTTCACAAAAGAAAAGTGAAGTTGACCTTTACACTTTCATGTAAATACTATCTACCAAGATGATACTTGAATTAATTTTTCGATTCCCAGTAAATTGCCAAAGTCTACAAGCTTTACTTGGTATTCTTTATCGTATGGACACACTCACCAGAAACTAAGATTCCAATGCCATGTCACAAAATTTATTCAACAATCTAAATTGCCATGACTGGGTGTGCCCTTTGGGCACTGCCCGAGGGGAAGGTTGATGGGAGCTCCGCCCCATGACACCCCGAATGCACAGCAAGATAGAGCTGAAACTCCAGGGCACTGAGTGGGTTTGAGGTATAAGCCTGCAGATTATTACTCCTATTGATGTTTGCAACTTTTTGTCCACAACTAGAATACCATCTTCAATTTGCCCTAGCTTAGTGCATCTGTATCATAAATATTCACCCTTTATTTTAATACAGTATTTGTAATAAAGCTTTGTTGGTCTTTGTTAAAACACCAATGGGTGTGGAGGCTGAAGGGATTAGAAAATAGTCAAGCAGCAGTTATATGGCGTGGTTATCATGGTTAACATTTTCCAGTATTTGTTCAATACTGACTTTTGAAATGTAATCTGTGTGTTGCATTTTGAAATAAATACATAAATAATAAGGTAATTCTTTACAGTACGGACGCACTCGCCAGAGGCACGCCCCCCC